CTACCCTAAGTTCTGAATCAGTTGACAAGTAAGACTAAAGCATAAGGCAGATGGGAAATCAACTTATCACTGTTATTACTGATAAAGGTAAACGTGCCTGATAAGTTCTTGTTCTCCATACAAGGTGCCCAATAAGCATCAGAACTGCTCGCCAAAGGGAGGGTTTGAGTCTGGAGAACACGCACACTTACCCAAGATGCTGCTGCTTCATACTGAAGTGGGGGAAGTAAAAAGACCATCCCCACAACCTTCTCTTCTCTCTCTTCTCTGCCTTCTCGCTCGCTCTCTCTCTCTCTTTCTCTCTCTCTGTGTCTCATTTTCTCTTCCTCAGTGCTTTTCATTGTCTCCTCTTGATTGAGAAAAGTGGAACACCTGCTGTTAATCATTCAGTAGCAAAGGGTGGTACAAGAGGCTAGGATTATTTAGAAAAATCCATCATCATAGAAATCAAAAGATATAGAAAAAAAGGCTTTCTCTGCTTAATTCAGTCGTATTTACATGGTATTAGCAACGCTTGCAACTGGGTCGCTACGTTTATCTGATGACTGGAAAGACACATGATTACAGAGCATCCAGATTAGGCTATATCAAGCCTAAACAAGAAACTGTATGGTCTTTGACTTTGGTCTTAGCAAGACTACACTTGCTACTCAAAGTGTAGTCTGTGGACCTACAACATTGGCATCACCTGGAAGCTTTTTAGAAGGGCAGAATCTCACACATCCCTCCAGACCTACTGAATCAGAATCTTCATTTTAGCAAAATACGCACGTGAGTTGTGTGCACATTCAAGTTAGGCTAGAAGACAATGTGAACTTCCAATATTAGATCTATTCCTAAGGGCCCTTGGCAAGCTCTGTCTCCGTGCAGGGTTTCCAATCTGTAAAACAGACAACTACTTTATAGTATATAGCAATTAGCAGAGGTGGGGAGTGGGAGGCTATATTCTGAAGAGAATTTAAACTGATGAAAAAATCTAAAAATAAGCATAGCCTTCAGGTGTATAATGTGTCAGAAAGCCTTTTGTAGCCATCTTTGAAATCAAACCCATCATGTATAACATACATAATACATTCTGGCTTTAGACTTTTTTTGAATTGGAATGTATTGTTTTAGATTATTTTAAATTGAAACATGTCTCTAAAATAGGACAATATACTTGCAGTCCCCCACTTTTATACACACCCCCCCAACACACACACACCCCTTTGTCTACTCTAAAGATAAGGACAGTCATCTATTTTGTTGACTCCCTCTAAGAGTAGAAGGAACGAGAAGCAGCATGTTCAAACTTCAACTAATAAATAGACGCACTGAATATTAGTATATTTTTACGAACAGGGATGACATAGACACCAAGGAAACTGCCTAAAAATGACTTTTTGAAAAGAGATTAATGTATGCAAATATTCTCATACTGATTCAGGTGATTGAACCTGCTGTCACTGGGATGTCTGTAAGCCTAATGTCTTTAAATATACTTGTATTTATTTTTGAATAAATAATATGTGTGCATAGTTCAAAATTCAAAAGTACAAAAGGATGCACAGTGAAAATTAAGGGTTGTTTTCTCACTTGTGTGCTCCATCCTATTGCCTTCCCTGGAGGAAAAAACCATTTGGATCAGTTTCTTATTTATCCTTCCAGAAATACACACACACACACACACACACACACACACACACACACACGAAGTCGCAAATTATTATTTTTTATATATATATATCCTCTTCTGTAACATATAGAGCTACCACATTCTTTTTAATGGCTTTATGTATTTTATAATATATGAAACCATTTCATATATATGTTTTATATATTTAACCACTCCCCTATGTATGGATATTTCAGTTGCCACTATTTTGCACTGTGAGCAATGCTACACTGAATATCCTTGAATATACATAATTTTGCACAGATTCAAATGTATTCACATGTGCTATACACCTAGGAAAGGAATTTCAAGGTCACTGAGAATATTATTTGTGTAATTTGATACATGTTTCCAAATTGCCTTCCATAGAGCTTGTACCAATTTACACACCTGTTAAAACAGTGTAAGAGGACTATTTCCTCACACTGAAACCAACAGTGCATGCTGAAATTTTAATTTGTTAAGTTGCTTTACTTTTGGTCTTATTAGGAATGAGGGTGAGTATCTTTGCATATATTTAAGACCATTTGAATTTCCTCTTCTGTGGATAAATTGGTCCCAGCTTCTGCCCATTTTTCTTTTTTAACTTTTCCTTTAGGTTCAGGGGTATATGTGCTTGTTTGTTATACGGGTGAACTCGTGTCAGAGGGATTTGTCGTACAGATTATTTTGTCACCCAGGTACTAATCCTAGTACCAACCCAATAGTTATTTTTTTCTGATTGTCTTCTTGCTCCCACCCTCCACCCTCAAGTGTCTGTTGTTCCTCTCTTTGTGTCCATGTGTTCTCATCATTTAACTCCCACTTCTGATAACATGCTGTATTTCGTTTTCTGTTCCTGAGTTAATTTGGCAATGGTAATGGCCTCCAGCTGCGTCCATGTTCCTTCAAAGGAGATGGCCGTG